GGGCAGGGGAAGGGCCTGCGTCTCCTGGCTGTGCCACAAGCAAGTTGCTTGCAGCCACGTGCCCGCGGCTGTGCCCAGCAAAGGTGGCTGGCCCGGGCCTACTCAGAAGCAGGGCTTTACATCCAGGCTGGGTGCTTGGGGTTTGGGGTTTAGGGGGTACTTCCCCGTACTGTAACAGTCGATGACAGGGCTATTAAGGTCCTTGTGTATCTATAGTACAAGTCGAGTACTCAACTGTCACTGAGTCGGGCGGGGCAGTATCCAACTTCTAGTATCTCGGGTTTGTTCGGGTGAACTCGGGCTTTAGGGCTTTCGGCTTCAATGGCTTCTTTGGGTTGCAGAATTTGGACTTTAGGGTAGGTGTTTCGAGTTGTTCAGGTCTACGTCGGGGATTCATCGGTGGCAGAAAAGCGCAGCTAGAGCGGAAGCTAGACCTCCTGGGACTCTGAACGTGCTACAACTGCCAAACCCACAAAGACCCTAAACCCCATCAGAACACTGAAAGGATCTTAGGCTTCATAAGGGTTGAAGAGTGGTACTCTATATACTATACGGGTGATATAGAGTATCTATATGGTTTTGCAAGGGTCCCAAGAGGATTGCATTGGGTCACCGTTCTGAAATCTGAGAGCACGATCGGCTGCCCCAACCTATAGTTCTGGTCCCAAAGCAACTTAAAGCTTAATCAAAGCCAAGACCCCTGAAGCCCGAACCCCAACGCCCCAACAGCCTGGACCATTAACCCGGACAAACCCGAAAGCCTAAAGCCTGCGCCACCCCTGCGGAACCCGAAAGCCCGCAAAGCCCTGAAACCCTGTAAACCTTTTTGAACCAGCAGCCTGCAAACCCCCAGTAAACTAACCCTAAACCCTAAACACTTACTAAGCAGCAACCCTAAACCGTAAACCCCTAAACTGTGAATCCTGGTGAACCCCCTTGCAAAACAGCAACCTTAAACCCTAAACCCTTTAAACCTTCAGCCCTCAACCTTGACCCCGAAGCCCTAAACCTTAAACCCTAAACCCAAAGCCCTATTGAAGAGCAAAGCCCAAGAATCTCAGTGGAAGGAGCCTTCGCGAAGCAAAGGCTGCTGCTCCCAGAAGCGCGAGGAGCAGAGCACTACCTGCTTCTCGGTTAATCTCATATCAATATGCTTGCTACTGATTATGGTTTTTACTACCGATATTACTATTACTACCATTATCACTATCACTATCACTATTGTTAGTGTTGTTGCCATTATGAGAGTACAGAACACGTCGAACCAGTGTTTTTTACTGTTGTTGCTGCTCTTGCTGCTGTTGTTGTTTTTGTTGTTCTTCTTCTGCTTCTTCAAATCTTACTGGCTTCTGGGCCCTGAATCGTAACCGTGCTTTATGTCTGAGGGCGTAGGTTTATTGTGGTGTTGCGTTTGGTCTTCAGGTTGCTTGTGAGCTCCTGTGGGGCCTACCGGCTTTGCGCTGTCAGGAAGTACGCAATAGCCGAAAGCATTGTACGAGGAAGAGGAAGAACGAAGGAAGTAGAACAACAAATACCACGGCAACGACTACGACTCGTGCGACGGCTGTTGCTACTAGCACTGGCACTGCAGAGAAGCACTGGCCACTGCTAATAGAAAAACAGGAGCAAAAACAGCCACAGCAGTAGTGCAGTAGAACGAGTGCTGTTCTGTCTGCAAACACTGCGACGACTAGTCGCAAGTGTGAGGGTATCGCATCTGCAAACACTACGTCAACATAATGAGCTCGAACATGTAGATGGCTTGGGTCTGCTGAGCAGGTTGAAATTGGTGTACAGGTACAGCTGCAGAAAGCCGAGCGCTGATACCAATGAACAAAAGGCATTATGGTTCCCAGACCCGAGCTTCATATTTATTGCACGAAGCACATTAGCTTGCCCAAGCCTTGGCCTCCATCAGCCGCTCGACCAACAAACTTAGATCGAACAAGAAACCATCACGGGCCTGCAGGACCTTTGCTCGAGTCTGAGGGGCTCGTCTGCGAGCGGGAGCGAACCGGCGCCCTGGATTTGCGAGCAGTTGGGTCATGAATCTTGATAATGTAGGGGCCTTAATAAGTAGGGTATACTATACTCATAATTCTAATAAGGAACCCCCAAAATAGCATAGGTACTCATTAAGGCCCCTATGGACTCTGTAAGGGTTCTGCCTGCCTGATTTAATCTCCGGCGACCCCAAACCAAACCGTCCAATTATAGAGGTGGGCTCAGGGCTTATAATGTAGGGCCTTAGTTGAGGCTGTTAGGTTATACTTACCAATACTATTTCGGGGGTTCCTTATTGCAAATAAAAAATGGGCCTCAAAACCCTATTCTAGTGATTAAGGCCCCTACATCAAGACCGCGAAGGCCCCTCTAGCATAGGGCTTTAAATAATTAGAACAGGATTCCGTTGAGGGCCTCCTCTCAAGGATTCTTTAAGGGTTGCTATCAGGGCTTGATACAGGGGCCTTAGAATAGGGCCTGCGGATATATCGTGACATAACTATGAAGACTATAAAGTGAAGAGCTCTAAGGAACTCTATTCGCAGTTATTCCGGCTTCTGAACTCCTGGATTCGGCATGAAGACCCGCCAAAACGTAGCAGTCTCGATAATTAGACTCAGGGTTTGAGGGTCTCGGGTTCAGGGTTTAGGGCTTAGGGTTTAGTTTAGATTGGGTGCTGGAGGCTTCCTCAAGCCTTAACCCTAAACATACTATGACCACACTTTTGGGTTCGGTTCCCTGAGCCCTAAACTCCAAGAACAGATCTCCAAAAGCTACTAAAATCTACCCTATGTGCATCCGAAAACCTGCGAACCCCGAAGATGAATGCGGCGTAAGCCAGGCGCGACAAAAAAGAACTGCAATGCCAGCACTAGATATAATTCTTAGTAGTCATAATTAGTTGTAGCAGTCACCGTAAAACTAATTCACCGTGAGATCACCCTAAACCCGAAACTCAGACTCCTAAACCCCAAACCCCTTTTAAAGGAGCCTAACAGGGAACCCTAAACTCTAAACCCTTTTAAAGGAGCATAACAGGGAACCCAAAACCCTAAACCCTTTTAAAGGAGCCGAACAGGGAACCCTAAACCGTAAACCCTAAACCCAAACTCATAGAGCCCGGACCCTGTACCTTGAAACCATCTGAGCGAAGGACAGGTCTGCTCTGCTAAGCGTTGGGCTGGGAGCCTGGAGACAAGGGTTTGGGGCTTAGGGTTTGGGGCTTAGGGTTTAGGGTTTAGGGTTGGGGGTTTAGGGTTTAGGGCGTGTGGTTTAGGATTAAGTGTTTGGGGCTTAGGGCTTGGGGCTGAGGGTTTTGTGGTTTAGGGTTTGGGGCTTAGGGTTTGCGGTTTGGGGTTTTAGGGTTTTGGGTCTAGGGTTTGGGGTTTGGGGTTTGGGGCTTTGGGTTAGGGTTTGGGGTTTGGTAGGGTTTGGGGCTTAGGGTTTGGGGCTTAGGGTTTGGGGCTTGGGTTTAGG